CCACGACGACGACGACCCCGACCAAGACCACGACCACGACGATGATGGCGGTGGCGACGACGACGACGCCGGCCACGACGACCACGACCTTGAACACCACCACCACGACGACGACGACGACCGCGACCGCGACCGCGACCGCAACCGCGACCGCGACGACGACGACGAAAACGGCCACGACGACGACGACGGCGACCACGACGACGACGACGACGACGACGACGACGACGACGACGACGACGGCGGCGATGACAACCACGGCCGCGACCGCGACGACGACTTGGACGACAACGACGACGATGACGACGACGACCACAACCACGACCACGACGAAGACAACGGCGGTGGTGGCGGCGACGACGATGACGACGACGACGCTTGGGGGGCGCGGGTGGGTTGTGCCGCGGGTCGCGGGGCGACGGCGACGGCCACGACGACGACGGCCACGACGACATCGACGACGACGGCGACGACGACCACGACCACGACGGCCACGACGACGACCACGACCATGACCACGACTACGACCGTGACGACGACCACGACCACGACCACGACCACGACCACGGCGACGACGACGACGACGACGACGATGACCACGACGGTCACGCCGGCGACGACGACCACTACCACCGCGACGACGACGACCACGACGACGACGACGTCGACGGTGGCCACGACGACGACGACCACGACCACGACCACGTCCACGACGACGCCGCCGACGACGACGACGACGACGAAAACGACTTGGGGGGTCGCGAACGGGTCGCTGGTCGCGGGTGGGTCGTGCGGCGGCCCGCGGGGCGACGACGACGGCCACGACGACGACGACGACGACGACGACGGCCACGACGACGACGACGACGACGACGGCGTCGACGACGGCCACGACGATGACGACCAAGACCACGACCACGACGACGGCGTCGACGACGGCCACGACGATGGTGGCGGCGGCGACGACGACGACGACGGCCACGACGACGACCATGACCACGACGACGACGAGGACGACGACGACGACGATCGCGACCGTGACCACGACTACGACGACGACGGCCACGACGACGACGACGGCCACGACGACGACGGCCAAGACTACGAAAACTGCGACGACGACGGCGACCGCGACGACGGCGACGACGACGACGACGACGGTGGCGATGACAACCACGGCCGCGACCGCGACGACGACGTTGACGATGACGACGACGACCACGACCACGACCACGACCACGGCAGCGACGGCGGTGGCGACGACGACCACGACCACGACGACGACGACGACGACGACGACGACGACGACGACGACGACGGCTTTTGGGGTGTCGCGGAAAGGGTCGCCGGTCGCGGGTGGGTTGGGCGGCGGGTCGCGGGGCGACGGCGACGGCCACGACGACGACGACCACCACGACATCGATGACAACGACGACGACGACGATGACGACCACGACCACGACCACGACCACGACCGCGACCAAGACCACGACAACGACGGCGACAACGATGTCGACGACGACGAGGTCGACTACGACGACGACGGCCACGACGACGACGACGACGACGACCACGACCACGACCACGACTACAACCGCGGCCGCGACGACGACGACGCAGACCACGACCACGACGACGACCACGACCACGATTACGACGGCGACAACGATAACGACGACGAGGTCGACGACGACGACGACGGCAACGACGACGACGACCACGACCACCCCACGACCACGACTACGACCCTGACCGCGACAACGACGAAGACCACGACCACGACCACGACCAAGACCACGACGGCGACAACGATGTCGACGACGACGACGACCACGACGACATCGACGACGACGACGACCACGACCACGACCACGACTACGACCGCGACCGCGACGACGACGAAGACCACGACCACGACCACGACCAAGACTACGACCACGATTGCGACAACGATGTCGACGACGACGAGGTCGACGACGACGACGACGGCCACGAAGACCGCGACCGCGACGACGACGACGATGACCACGACCACGACCACGACCAAGACCACGACCACGACGGCGACAACGATGTCGACGACGACGAGGTCGACGACGACGACGACGGCGACGACGACGACGACGACGACCTAGGGCCTCTAGCCGCGAGACGGGCTCGAGGCCCCAGGTGTTCGCACGTTTGCGTCGGCCCCTGAGATCCTGGCGTCGCAATTTTCTCGAGACGGGCGTTTTCGCATTGTTTTGGGCCCCGAGATTCTCACATATCGATCCGGCTTGAGAAAAAACGCAGGAAGACGGGGTCCAGGGTTCCAGTGGTGTTTTTTGCGATGTTGCATTTTTTGCAACGTCAGCCTCGGGCTGCTCTCCAGCAGCTGCGCCTCGCCGAAGGCGTTGCGGGGGCGCCCGGGTCGTCCCGAGCGGCCGCCGGGTGCCCGTGATGTGGCCTGCGGGCCGCGAGACTGGCCCGAGGACCGAGTTTTCCGCGCGCATGCGTCGGCCTTCGGCGCTCTTCCAGCGTCGGGCTGCTCCAGCAGCTGCGCCGCGCCGAGGGCTCCCCAGATCGGGCGAAGAGAACTATGCACATGCACCGATCCTGGCAAGGCCCATCCTTGACCCAGGATCGGTGCATGTGCCTTCCTGGCCAAGGCAGGAGGGGGTATGCACCGATACTGGGCTCAGGATGGGCCTGGCCAGAATCGGTGTGTGTGTGTGTGTGCATAGTTCTCTTTCCTCTGAGAGTTGCCCCGATCGTCCCGAGCGGCTGCCAGAGGCTTGGGCTGTGTCCCGAAGGCCGCCAGGAGCGGCCCGCTCCCGTGGGGGGTCCGTCCAGTCGACCGCGCCTCCCAAGCTGCTCACGAGGGGGGTGCCTTTTGTGACGAGGGCGAGGGCCAATTTCGGGGGAGGGCGAGGGCGAGGAGGAGGGCGAGGGCCCGGAGGTGCAGGAGGAGGAGGAAAAGGAGAAGGAGGAGGAGGAGGAAGAATGCAAAGTGTAAACCCAACAGGCGTGCATGATGTTGCAATAAGCCTTCCGTCCTAGTTCCCCTCACAGGTACCTACAAGAATTGATTGTCAATGAAGGACGTGGCCCATTAGCAGACGACCGTCTGAGAACCCTCAATCGTGCCCAGAACACAATACCTGCGACTTCAACGTCGCGGATCAGCGTGACTGTTGGGCCTTGACAGTCTAAGTCGTGCCAGAATGTAAATCTTGGGATTGCAATGCCGCGAATCAACGTGACCATTGCGGTATGACAGCCCTAAATCGTACCATCATGTTGCAAGTTGTAAAGACTAATGCGCGATGCGCTAAGGCGAGAGCCACAATGTGAAACAGAACAGCCCTCCATCTTCGACAATGCTGTCAACTTTAGACGAATTTGCGCGGCGCCAAGGCGAGAGCCACATTTGAAAACGGCCCGACCTCCATCCTTGTGTGTTACAAACGTCTTATAGAACGTGCGCGGCGCTAAGGCGAGAGCCACATTTGAAAACGGCCCGCCCTCCATCCTTGAAATTGTTACAGACTTCTTATATGAATGTGCATGGCGCTCCGGCGAGAGCCACACTTGAAAAACGGCCCGCCCTGCATTTTTGAACATTCTGCACACTTGTTTATACAAATGTGCGTGGCGCCCTGGCGAGAGCCACACTTTGAAACCGACCCGCCCTCCATCCGTGAAGCTGTTGAAAACGCGTAATACGAATGCGCGCGGCGCTAAGGCGAGATCCACTTTTGAAACCGACCCGCTCTCCATACGTGAAACTGTTGCAATTGTCAAGCTTCAGGATCATACATGGTGAGGAAGTCTCAGGCGAAACGCCCAGCCCGCCCTACCAACACGCCTGGGGGTGCGACAGGGAGGAACTATTCATAAATAAAAGGGCTGGAGGAGGAGAAGTAGGAGGAGGAGGAGGGCGAGGGCCTGGAGGAGAAGGAGGAGGAGGAGGAGGACGACGAGGAGGAGGAGGAGGGGGAGGACCAGGAGGGCGAGGACCTGCAGGGCGCGAAGATGCTCGCGCATCGTAGGGCAGGATGCGCGAAGTTATGCGACGACAGCCACAACCAGAGCTGAGGATGAGCCTCTGAAGCGAGGCATCCTCGCATCCTTAAGATCCTGGGCGTCCGCTGTGGTCTTTCTGCTTCCTCGGCCCGAGGGCACCATGGCATCTCGGTGCGCTCCAGGCGTCTCGCATCGCTGCCTCTTCTCTGCGGGAACCTTTTACTGCACAAGCGTAAACTGTCGGAGGTCCGCGCGGAGTTCTTGGATCTGGGCTGGACCCCCTCCCTGGCGACGGAGGCGCCGCCAGGGGGGCCCCAGCGCAGATCCAAAAAATCCGCGCGGAGCTCCGACACTTTATATTTCGATGCCGTTTCTTTCCTTCGATTATCCTTACTCCTGATTGCGAAGGCCTTAGGGCCGGTGCCGCCAGCCCTGAAGGGGAACGACGAAGACGACGACGACGCTCGCGAGCCCTCGTGGGGGCCCTTGTGGGCCCTGTTGGCCTCGGGACCCCCCCTTGGGAATCCCTCCAGGAGCGCCCCCAGCGATCCCCTCTCGGGACCGCCCCCCGCCTCTGGGCGGGGAGGGAGGGATCAAGGGCTTTTCCCTTCGACTTGATTGGTATTCCCCCTCTTGCGGCTCTGTTGGGCTCTCTTGGGCCGTCTTGGTCGGAGAGGGGGAGGTCACAACCCCCGAGACCCTCTCTTGGGGTGGGGTCGGAACCCCAGGTCCCCCTCACTACCCCCCCCCCGGGACCCCCCCGAGACCCGAGACCCCTCCCCGCCAGGCGCGGGGAAGGGATCAAAGGGAAAAGGCTTCCCTTTGACTCGATTGCGGCGTTGTTCGGTTTTCGTTTGGCTCGTCGCATGAGGAGGAGGCCCCAGGGGAAGGGCCAGAAAAATGTATCACACACCATACACACACCGCCAGGGGCGGTGGATTCTGATTGTACGAGGAGGGGGGACGGCGAGCAGCGGCTGGTGCATGGCGCGAAGGACGGCGAGCCGCTGGTGCGGAAGGACAGGTTCCCCGACATGAAGGCGCTGGTCGAGTACGGGCACTCGCTGGGCCTGAAGGCCGCGCGGAAAGGGGACGCCGGGGAGTAGTCGGGAGGAATCAGAGGAGGAAAAGGTACGATACCGCTATCCTCGCCTCGTTTTTGCTATTTGGTCTCCTGGGAGGCCTTTGTCGCCACCGTTGGATTCTCCTCAAAATTCTGGTCAGAACGCATCCTGGGAGAGTTCCGAGGAGTAGCGGTATCTGCAGTACCTCTTTGTTGCCCCAAGGGAGAGAAGAAAATAGTGTGTGGATGGGTTGAGCGGTAGAGAGAGCATTTGAGCATTTTATTGGTCATACTAGTGGTACGCCCGTGGTATCGTAATGGGACGCCGTTTCGATGATGTACGAACTTCCGAACATAGCAAATTCGACATGCTGAGTGATATACTGGACGTTCTTTGATGCAGTGGCACATGTAAATGGTGTTGCTCATGTTAATCAGCCAACAGTGCCGTACGCATCGGGATCTTGATATTTGAACATGCAGGTGGGTACCTACCTGAACAACTGCATATGTATGGAGGTCAACCTTGAGCCGCACTACGAAGAGGATGTAAGGTGGTTCTTTGGTGACGAGGGGGGAGCATGGACTCATGTGCAGGGATTCAGGCGGTGAGTGGTAAGATGTTCCAGGGGGGAAATTCAGGAGAACGGTATAGAGATCCAGTAGTGCAGATGAATTCAGGACAGCGCGCCAGTGGATCCCCCGGTGATTGTAAAGGGTGTGTGTGTGTGTGCTCGCAGAAGCCCCCACCCCCCTCAAAGGGGGGGGGGGACATTTTCGGACACCCCCCCCTTCCCCTCTTTGAGGGGGGAGGGGGATTTCGGACCTCCCCCCCCTTCCTCCTTTGCGCAAAGGGGGGGGGTTCTGACATCCCAATCTCTCGATTTCCTGGCTTCCGGACATGTTGGTAGGTAGGGGTGGGAGGGTTCGGATGTTAGGGTGGTAGCGTTAGGGAATTAGGACTAAGGTGTTCGGGTTAGGGTGTTAGTTTAGGGTGTGATGGTTATGCTGTTAGTGTTTGGAGGTTAACGCGAAGGTTAGAGTTTAGGATTAGGGTTTCGGTTTTAGGGTTAGGGTTTCGGGGTGGGGTTCGGTGCAAGGTTACGGGGTTAGGGTCAGAATTAGGGTTCGGGTTAACGTTGGGTATTCGGGTTTAGCGTTAGGGTCATGAGTTAGGTTTTAGGGTAGAGGTTATGATAGAGGTTAAGGTTAGGGTCAGTATTAGGGGTTAGGGTTAGGGTTAGGGGCTATGGTTAGGGTGAGGATTTGGAGTTGGGGTTAGGGTTCGGGGTCGGGGAAATGGTAGGGGTTAGGGTAGAGATTAGGGTAGGGGTTACGGTCGGGGGTAGGCTTAGGATTATGGGTTAGAGTTCAGAGTTAGCGTTAGGGTGAGGGTAGGGGCTAGGGTTAGTATTGGGGGTTAGGGTTTGGGTTTAGGGTTTGGGCTAGGGTTCGGGTTCGGGGTTAACGTAGGGGTAGGGGTTCGGGCTTAGGATTAGGGTTCCGTCTAGGGGTTAGGGGTTAGAGGTTGGGGTCAGGGTAGGGGTTCGGATTAGGGGCTTGGGTCTGGGTAGGGGTTAAGATTAGGAAGAAGGGTAAGGGTTAGGGTTAGGGTAGGGGTTAGGGTTAAGGTGATGGGTTTGGGTATGGGGTTAGGGTAGGGGTTGGGGATAGGAACATGGTAATTGAGTGGGTTGAGATTAGGGGTTAGGGGGAGGGTTTAGGGTTAAGGTTGGGGGATCGGGTTTAGGGTCAGGGTTTAGGGCAGGAATTAGGGTTAGGATTAGGGGTAAGGGTTAGGGTTTAGGGTCAGGGTTTGGGCTTGGGGCTAAGGCAGGGGTTCGGGTCAGGGATTAGGGTTTGGGTTTTGGGTCAGGGTTGCAGGGGTTGATGTTAGGGTAGGGGTTAGGGTTAGGGCTTAGGGTTAGGGGTAGGGTTTCGGGTGAGGGTCAAGCTCTGCAGGGCGAGCGGTTACGGTTAGGGATTAGGGTATGGGCTAGGGTTGGGGGCAGAGAGTACGGGTAGTGTGCGGGTTGGGAGTAGGGTTGAGGATTCGGGTTTAGGGGTTGGGATTAGGGTTGGGTAGGGGCTAGGGTTAGGCTTAGGATTAGAGGTTAGGGTTTAGGGGTTCGGGTTAGGGTAGGGGTCAGGATTAGGGGTTAGGGTTGTTGTTAGGGTTAGGGGGGAGGGTTGTTGGGGTTAGGGGTTAGGGGACGGTTTAGGGTCAAGTTAGCCTGCTCGAACGAGCCAGAGGGCTCCGTCCACTCCCACCCGCCCTCCCACAACCTAAGAAGCAAGTGCGTCGCGTCCGACGCCTGTCGCTCATCTCATATGTATCGTGGGCGGCTAGACGTTCAGCGCGCGACATGAGCTGCGTCCTATTCCTGCCGCGCATTGAGCAACGTGGACGAGAAGCAAGACCGCGCACGATGTACGCCGCGCCCCGCTCCGGCCTCTCATGTCGCATCGTCGGCGACAACATGTCCAGCGCGCGAAGTGCGCCGCGTCTCATTCCAGCCATGCGTGTTGTACCGCCAATCGTTTCGCTCCTGCCGCGCATGGAGGAGGGGGAGGAGGAGGAGGAGGAGGAGGAGGAGGAGGAGGAGGAGGAGGAGGAGGAGGAGGAGGAGGAGGAGGAGGGAGGAGGAGGAGGAGGAGGAGGAGGAGGAGGAGGAGGAGGAGGAGGAGGGAGGAGGAGGAGGGGGGAGGGGGAGGGGGAGGGGAGGGGGGAGGAGGAGGAGGAGGTGGAGGAGGAGGAGGGGAGGGAGAGAGGGAGGGAGGGAGGGAGACATGAAAAGGAAGAGGATAATGCCTCTTGGGCATTCGCTGGGCGTCCCGTTCCCGCCACGCGATTCGCAGCGCCGACGAAGAGGAAGTACATGTTGGCTAGAAAAACGTCGACGTTGCGGTGTTTGTTGACAGGTAGGACGGGGGTTTCCCGCGCAGGGTTGGCCAGGCGTCCGCGCGCGATGTGCACCGCGTCCCATTCCTGCTAAACTGTTCGCAGCGTCGGCGACAAGAAAGTCCATGTGGACGAGAAGAACGTTGACTTTGTATTGTTTTTTGATGGGCCGGACGCGACCACCCGCTTCGGCTACCCAAGCGATGTTCATTCCGTGAAATTCCTGCTGCGTTTTTCGCAATTCGACGACATGTTGGCGAGAAAAAAAGTTCGTGATGATTTTTGACAGGTAGGACGGCGAGGCTGCTATCGGCCGTCTAGGTGGGGATGTGGGGGTGCTTCACCATAGGAAGTAAGGATAGGGGGGGGGTTAGAGTTAGGGTATGGGGTTCGGGTCAGGATTAGATGGTAGGGTTCGGGTTTAGGGTAAGGATTCGGGGTTCGGCGTAGGGGTTAGGGTTAGGGGATCGGGGTTCGGGTTTAGGGTAGAGGTTAGGGTCAGGATTCGGGGATCGGGGTTCGGGTTCGGAGTTGGGGTTAGGGCTGGGGTTAGGGGTCAGGGTAAGGGTTAGGGTCAGGATTAAATGTTAAGGTTAGGGCTTAGGGTGAGGATTAGGGGTTAGGGGTTGGGGTTAGGGGATCGGGGTTCGGGTTTAGGGTTGAGGTTAGGGTTAGGGGATCGGGGTTCGGGTCAGGATTTGGGGTTAGGGTTAGGATTAGGGTTAGGGGTTAGGGTAGGGTTAGGGTTAGGGTTTAGGGTTCGGGCTATGGGTTAGTTCCCCAATCAGAGCTTGTTTCTGTAGAGGTCCTAGCGGATTCATATAGTTAGGCGAGGTTCGCCGCCGATTTCGGTGGCGGGCCCGGGTGCCTGGGTGCCCGGGTGCCCGGTGGCGCCCGGAGGTGCCCGGAGGTGCCCGGGGGGTGCCCAGGTGCTCTATCTCCCTATAGCCATATAGCCCTACAGCCTCGCAGCCCTACTTATGGCCCTATAGCCCTGTAGCCCTAGAAAGATTCAGAATTGGGGCTTTTCTCCGGTATCATGGGTTAGGATTTAGGTGGTGGGGTTAGGATCGGGGTTAGGGTTTGGGATTTGGGTTAGGACCACTAGCCTCCTCTATTCGAAGCCCGGTGGACGTACCCCACCCACCCATGGCCCATCACATACAGAACTCAACGCGTCGAGGACGTCAGTGCGATGCGTCATGGGCAAAACTTACGCAGCGCTTCAACCCGATGCAGCGGCGATGTGAAATGGGATCGAAGCGACCAGTGGGTAGCTCCCCACAGCAGGCTGCCGACGCATTGGCGATGCGCGCCTGGGCCGCGCCTGAGCCGCGCCGGGGGGGCGCTTAGAAAATGCCTGGCAGGCGCCTGGGAGCGCCTGGGGCACAAGCGCGCCCAGGCGTGCTCGGGATTGTATTTATTGATAGAGATCGCGCGAGCTGGAAGGAGCCTACTTGCTCCTCGGGAATGTGTTGCCAGGGATTCGGGCCGCATGCATGAGAAACCGTATGTTTTGCAAGGGATTCCGGCCGCATGGGCACAACACCGCAGTTTTTTAGAAGGGAAAGTGCGTGGCGCCGAAGGGGCGGCATAGGGGGAATTCGTAAGGGGTCTCAGGTTTTAGATCTTTATCAGAGTGAGGGGGCCGAACGGTCATTCACTGTCCCTGGGTGCGTGGCTGTAATGGGATTCCACGGTGCGGATTCGTGTTGTTGTTGTTGTTGTTGTTGTTGTTGTTGTTGTTGTTGTTGTTGTTGTTGTTGTTGTTGTTGTTGTTTGTTGTTTGTTGTTTGTTGTTTGTTGTTTGTTGTTTGTTGTTTGTTGTTTGTTGCTTGTTGTTGTTTGTTGTTGTTGTTGTTGATGTTGCTGTTGCTGTTGCTGTTGCTGTTGCTGTTCCCCATATCCTAAGGATTGGGGTTCTTGTTATCACTCTGACGCCTCCCACTGCTCCTCCTTCCTCCCGCTCGCGCCTCCCTCCTTTCAATGATAATCACCAGATAAGACAAGACAAAATAATATACTACAAGATAAGATAAGATAGCACAATATATGATAAGGTAAGATAAGATATATGACAAGGTAGGATAATATATAAGATAAGACAGCCTATGGAGTAATAAGATAAGACAATATATGATGCGATAAGATGAGTTGATATAAGATAAGCTGAGACAAGATAAGAGATTTCAAGATAAGATAAGATAGAGGGTAATAAAGGTAATATAAGATAGGACTCGATAAGATAAGATGAGACTCACTCTCACTCAGACTCACTCACAGTCACATTCACTCACACTCACACTCTCTCATGATCACAAAACGCTGCCAGGGGCATCATTTGGGAGCCCCAAGGGGGAGCCACCCTGGCTGATCTCACGAGCCCGTTCGCGCCGATTTTGGTGGGACGTCTCAGCTAAAATTGCCGTTTGGCCTCCCCAACATGTCTCTCTTGAGAGCCTCATGGTCACAAAACGCTGCCAGGGGCATCATTTGGGAGCCCCAAGGGGGAGCCACCCTGGCTGATCTCACGAGCCCGTTCGCGCCGATTTTGGTGGGACGCCTCAGCTAAAATTGCCGTTTGGCCTCCCCAACATGTCTCTCTTGAGAGCCTCATGGTCACAAAACGCTGCCAGGGGCATCATTTGGGAG